GGCGGGGGAAGCCGGGGGGCTGGGCTGGGGGGTCCCCGCGACCTTGACCCCCCCCAAACCCCCTTGTAGGCGCCTGCTTGGGTCCCACCATCCAAATCGGAGAGGAGACGGTGATCACGGTGGACGCCAAGGCGGCCGGGCAGGGGAAGGTGACCTGCAAGGTGTCCACCCCCGACGGGGCCGAGCTGGACGTGGACGTGGTGGAGAACCACGACGGCACCTTCGACATCTACTACACCGCCCCCGAGCCCGGGAAATACGTCATCACCATCCGCTTCGGCGGGGAGCACGTCCCCAACAGCCCTTTCCACGTCCTGGTGGGTGTCGGTGGGGGCACCACGTGGGCACCATGGGGCAGAGCATCGGGGCCATGGTGGACGTCATGGGGTTGGGAGCCCATGTGGGGCACCATGGGGCAGAGCAGTGGGGCCATGGGGGACACCGTGGGGTTGGGAGAGCATGGTGGGCACCATAGGGCAGAGCAGTGGGGCCATGGTGGACATCATGGGATTGGCAGACCATGGTGGGCACCACGTGGCAGAGAGTTTGGGCTGTGGTGGACATCATGGGGTTGAGAGACCATGATGGGCACGATGGGGCAGAGCAGTGGGGCTATGGTGGGCACCGTGGGGTTGGGAGACCACGTGGGCACAATGGGGCAGAGAGTTTGGCTCGTCGCGACATCGAGGGGGCAGGAGACCATGATGGGCACCATGGAGTTGGGAGACCATGATGGGCACCATGGGGTAGGGAAACTGTGGTGGTCACCATGGTGGTGGGAGACCATGGTGGACACCATGGGGCAGAGAGTTGGGGCCATGGTGGACACCATGGGGTTGAGAGACCATGATGGGCACCATGGAGCTGGGAGACCATGATGGGCACCATGGGCCGGAGCACCAATGCCATGGTTTGGAGACTGTCATGGACATCATGGGGCAGAGCACTGGGGCCATGGTGGGCACCATGGGGTTGGGAGACCATGATGGGCACCACGGGGCTGGGGCCGTGGTGGACATCATGGGATTGGGAGACCATGATGGGCACCATGGGGCGGAGAGTTTGAGCCATGGCGGACATCATAGGATTGGGAGACCATGATGGGCACAATGGGGCTGGGGCGGTGGTGGGCACCATGGGGTGGGGAGCCCACGATGGGGTGCTGTGGTTCTTACACCTCCTCTCTGCCCCACGGCGTCAGGCCACGGAGGAGCCCCCCGCCACCGCTGAGAACCTCCGGCCCTTCAACCTCGTCATCCCCTTCACCGTGCAGAAGGGTGAGATCACAGGTACGGGGCGGGGTTATGGGGTGCGGTGCGTGGGGTGGGCCATGGGGCGCAGTGGGGCGGGGGCCAGACCCCCACCCCGGTGCCCGACTGACGCGGTGGCCCCAGGGGAGGTGCGGATGCCCTCGGGGAAGACGGCGCGACCCAACATCACCGACAACAAGGACGGGACCGTGACGGTGCGCTACGCCCCCACCGAGAAGGGGCTGCACGAGATGGACATCCGCTACGACGGCAACCACATCCCCGGTGAGACCACGGCGGGCACTGGGAACCACTGGGAGCCACTGGGAGGTGGCTGAGCCAGGCTGATGCCACCTCGCCCCGGTTGGGCACCCGTGGGTTGAGCAGCCTGCCACGGGACGGGGTGTCCCCATGGGGTCCCTGACCGCCGTCCCCCCCATGTCCCCAGGGAGTCCCCTCCAGTTCTACGTGGACGCCATCAACACCCGGCACGTGAGCGCCTACGGGCCGGGGCTGAGCCACGGCATGGTCAACAAGCCCTGCACCTTCACCATTGTCACCAAGGATGCCGGGGAGGGTGAGTGGTGGCCAAGGGGGGCACCAGGGGGTCTGGGAGGGTTTTGGAGACCCCCCCCAATGCCACCGTGAGGGGCTGGAGACCCCCAATGCCTCCTGACGCCCAGCCGGTGCCCCCCAGGCGGGCTCTCGTTGGCGGTGGAAGGTCCTTCCAAGGCGGAGATCACCTGCCAGGATAACAAGGACGGGACCTGCACCGTGTCCTACCTGCCCACCGCCCCCGGGGACTACAACATCATCGTCCGCTTCGATGACAAGCACATCCCGGGCAGCCCCTTCACCGCCAAGATCACCGGTGAGCCGGGACCCTGTGGTCTTGGGGATCCCACCGAGGTCCTTGGGACCTCCATAGGGCCATGGAGACCCCTGCATGGTTGTGGCCATGGGGGCACTTGCGTGGTCATGGGGACACCTGCACGGCCACTGGGAACCATCACACGGCCGTGATGTCCCTGTCCATCCCTGGCCACCAGGACCCCATCACATGGCCATGGGAACTTTGTGGGACCTTGGGGACGCCATCACATGGCCATGGGGACCTCATGGGGCCTTGGGGATGCCATCACATGGTCATGGGGACCTCATGGGGCCTTGGGGATGCCATCACATGGCCATGGGAACCCTGTCCAGCCCCAGCCATGGGGATCCCTCTCACACAGCCTTGGGGACCCTGGGCAAATGGCCATGGGGACAGCTGCATGGCCACCAGGACCCCACTGCATGGCCACCAGGACCCCACCACATGGCCGTGGGGACCCCATCCACTCCAAGACCCCATCACATGGCCTTGACTGGCCCTGCGTGGCCACCGAGACCCCATCACATGGCCCAGGGGACCTCATGGGGACCCTGTTACGTGGCCTTGGGGACCCCATCCATCTCCAACCCCAGAGACCCCACCCAGCTCGGGCTGCCGTCCCCCCGGCCCCGCTGATGGCATCTCCATAGGGGACGACTCCATGCGGACGTCCCAACTCAACGTGGGCACCTCGACGGATGTCTCGCTGAAGATCACGGAGACGGACCTGAGCCTGCTGACGGCCAGCATCCGGGCGCCATCGGGCAACGAGGAGCCCTGCCTGCTCAAGCGGCTGCCCAACCGCCACATCGGTGCGTGGGGGACACGGGGATGGGGGACAGGGGACGTGGGGATACCAGCGACGTGCACATGTGGGGCCAGGAGGATGTGGGTGCAGGAGAACTGGGACATGGGGTGGAGGGTGGTGAGCACACAGAGAGGGTGATGTGGGACTTGGGGACGTGGGACAGGGGACAACAGGGCTGTGGGGTCACAGGGATGGGTGGCCCTGTGGCATTGGGTGCCCGGGGCTTGGTGGCCATGGCCAGAGCACATTGCTGGTGCCCAGGGGCAGCTGGTGGTGGCCAAGGGCTGGTGGAGGTGTTTAGGGGCTGGTGGTGGTGGCCAGGGATGGAGATGGTGGCCAGGGCTGGTGGTGGTGGCCAGGGCTGGAGGTGGCCAGGGGCTGGTGGTGGTGGCCAGGGCTGGAGGTGGTGGCTGACAGTGGTGTCCCCCTCCCAGGCATCTCCTTCACGCCCAAGGAGGTGGGCGAGCACGTGGTGAGCGTGAAGAAGAGCGGGCAGCATGTCACCAACAGCCCCTTCAAGATCCTGGTGGGGCAGTCAGAGATCGGGGACGCCAGCCGGGTGAAGGTGTGGGGCAAGGGGCTGGTGGAAGGTCACACGTTCGAGGTGTCCGAGTTCATCGTGGACACACGCAGTGCCGGTAAGACCACGGTCCCCGGGGCCACGGGTGGGGATGGGGCTGTGGGACAGGGATTGCCATGGTGTGGTCATGGCTGGGATGAGATGGTGGCCATGGCCATGGACAGGAGGGGATGGTGGCCGTGGTTGTGGCTGGGATGTAATGGTGGTCATGGCCATGGCTAGGATGGGTTCATGGCTGTGGTCGTGGCTGGGATGAGATGGTGGCCATGGCCAGGAGGGGATGGTGGCCATGGCTGTGGCTGGGGGGGGATGGCGGCGGCGCGTGGCGCGGGTTTGGTGGCTGTGGCGGGGATAGTATGGTGGCCATGGTCACGGCTGGGATGAGATGGTGGCCATGGCCGTGGCCAGGATGGGATGGTGGCCATGGCCATGGTGCAGCCATAGCCAAGAGGGTGATGCTATCGTGACCACGGCTATGGCAAGGTCATGGCCAGGATGGGGTGGTGGCCGTGGCCAGGATGGGATGGGATGGTGGCCGTGGCATGACCATGGCCAGGATGGGGACAGCAGCAGTGGGCCATCTCCGAGCGTGTCCCCGTGGCTGCCCAGGCTACGGCGGGCTGGGCCTGTCCATCGAGGGTCCCAGCAAGGTGGACATCAACTGTGAGGACGTGGAGGACGGCACCTGCAAGGTCACCTACTGCCCCACCGAGCCCGGCAACTACATCATCAACATCAAGTTTGCCGACAAACACGTCCCAGGTGGGGACGGGGGGGACGGGGACGTGGCACCGGGGAGCCGGGAGCCCTGGGTCCCCTCTCGGTGGCCAGGTCCCTGAGGTGGCCGTCACCCGCAGGGAGCCCCTTCACGGTGAAGGTGACGGGCGAGGGGCGCATGAAGGAGAGCATCACGCGCCGGCGGCAGGCCCCCTCCATCGCCACCATCGGCAGCACCTGCGACCTCAACCTCAAGATCCCAGGTAGGGGCTGGCCTTCCTCCCCCTCCTCCTCCTCCCCCTTCTCCTCCTCCTCCTCCTCCTCCTCCTCCTCCTCCTCCTTCTCCTCCTCCCCCGTGGGGCTCGGGGACGGGGACGCCTCTCGTCCGCTCCAACTCTGATTTCCGCCTCCTTCTTCCTTCTCTCCCCGTCCGTCCGTGCGTCCGTTCCCCGTGTCCGTCCGCGTCTGCCCGTGCCCTTCCGTGCGTCCGTGCCTCCGTCCGCGCGCCCGTCCGTGCGTCCCTGCGGGTGTGCCGCCGTCCGCCTGCGCATCCATCCGCGTCTCCGGCCATGCCTCCGTCCGCGCCTGCGTCTGTCCACACGTGTCTGCTTGCGCCTGTGGTCATCCCTGTGTCCGCCCATCTGCGCATCCATCCGTCCCTACCTCCATCCCTGTGTCCATCCGTCCGTCCATCCATCCCTGTGTCCATCCCCACGTCCATCCCTGTGTCCATCCATCCCTGCATCCACCCTTACGTCCATCCCTGTGTCCATCCCTGTCTCCATCCATCCACATGTCCATCCCTGTGGCCATCCACATGTCCATCCATGTCTCCATCCATCCCTGTCTCCACCCCGACGTCCATCCATGTCTCTATCCATGTCTCCATCCATCCATGTGTCCATCCATCCATCCCCATGTCCATCCACCAATGTCTCAATCCATCCATGTCTCCATCTGTCCCTATGTCCATCCATCCATGTGTCCATCCCTGTGTCCATCCACGTGTCCATCCATGTCTCCATCCATCCATGTCTCCATCCATCCCTGTCTCCATTCCTGCATCCATCCATGTCCGTCCATCCACGTCTTCGTCCATCCACGTCTTCGTCCATCCACGTCTTCGTCCATCCACGTCTTCATCCATCCACGTCTCCATCCATCCATGTCTCCATCCATGTCTCCATCCATCCCTGCGTCCATCCCTGTGTCCATCCACGTGTCCATCCCTGTCTCCATCCATCCCTGTGTCCCCCCCCGCCTCTATCCCTGCGTCCACCCGTGTCCCCATCCCTCCCCACCCCTCCCGCGCACCCGCCCACGCTCCCATCCGTGTGCCCGTCCGCCCCTGCCCCTCTCCCTGTCCCGCCACCGTCCCCGTCACCGTCACCGTCACC